AAGATACTCAACACTAGGGAACATGCCTTAAGCCACTAGGGTATATGATATCCCAAGATGAGTAGGTGCTCTGAATCACAACACTGAAGCTGTGTTATTCTTTCTAAAATGAGAACTGATCACTGAGATAGCAAGATAACATGTCTGACCGTCTGGCCCAGTAGTCTTGGCAATCATTGAAGAGGGGGAAGATCACAACTAAACCATCTGATGCACCAGAGACTCCACATAAAATAATGCAGTTTGGTAGACACCTCACAACAGACATTGGTGAGGATCTTCTCCCCAGCAAGGGCTGAAGCAGCCCAATCTGCTCCCCGTTGCACTGAGCACATATGCATGAGTCAGCAGCTCATTTGGACAGCTTGCATGAGTATCACTGCCTTTTAACTCTATTCCATGGCAATTACTCCTCATGAAAATGAAGCTAAACTTCACTGGTATTTTCTCTGCTCCACAGGCAAAATGACTTGTCCAGGTACATTTAGTTTTGTGTTAAATATACTAACACAAACATTCACTTTCAGCAAAAGACAATACTTGTAAAGGATCTTGCAGCTCAAGGCTTAAATTTCTAGGGGTGCACATTCTTTGAACGCATTTACAAGCTGGGTGGAGTAAAAACTAATCCTAGGCATGATGGGGTGCAAGATGAAACAAGCGCATGTAGTGATAGGATAAGGGGTAATGGCTTTAAAGTGAAAGAACGTGTATTTAGGATACATGTAAGGAAGAAGTTCTTCACTCTGAGGGTGGTGAAACACCGGAACAGGTTGCCCAGAGAAGCTGTGGATGCCTCATCCTTGGCAGTGTTCCAGGCCAGGCTGGATGGGGCTTTGAGCAACCTGGTCTAGTGGGAGGTGTCACTGCCCATGGCAGGGGGTTGGAACTAGGTAATTGTCCTGGTCTGATCTAAACAGAACCAATTCTATTCAGTGACTTTTACTTCTCAGCTCAGGCTCTTCTTAGGGGCTGCTCTTTCTGAAGTTAGCAGCGTGTTTTTGCAGACAGTGTGTGCTACTGGCAGTGGTAACACCTGATGTTTGCAGTTACTGCCTGGGACTGGGATGCAGACAGGCTCTTGCTGATAGTTATTCCCATAGTGGCCAAGGCCACTGCTGGCTCTTGTGTGCCACGCTGGGGGTGCCGGAAAGTAAGAGGGGTCACAAGGAAGTAAAAGATTGCACCTCGGATGAGTTAGACAGGACAAGTGACCAACAAGAGTATTCCATTCCATATATGTAATATTCAGTCTAAAACTGATGGATCATGAGAGTTTAGGTCTCTTTTCTTATATATATATATAAAAATCATTCACTATTTTTATTATCTCCTTATTCATTAAAGTTGTTTTAATTTTCTTTTTTTTCCAATTCCTAAGCCTCTCTGCATTCCCTTTTCCTTCCCATTTGGGGAGGGAGATGGGGTTAGAGAGTGTCTGTCAGCATTTAGTGGCCAGCTCAGCCCTAACCTGTGAAAATAATCTTAACGGTCCCTTCCAACTCAAACCATTCCTTGATGGGCACCATATTTGGGGGTAAAAATCACCGCCCCAGTGATCAGCAGTTACAAGGTGAGCCTTCTTTTAACTATCTGTCAGTCAAACTGCATCAGGCCCTCACGACTTCCTGTGCTGCCAGAGGGCTAGATGCTGAATGGGCACAGCCTTTTCCAGTGGAAGTGGCCCTGTGCTGGAGGATAGCTGGGACATAATGCACCCCAAGACAGATTGTCTTTGGAAATGGTGGACGCTACAGATGCTACACACCCATGTGGTCCCATCTTCCCATTTACTGCATTGGGAATTTGTCTGCCAGCTGGCATGCGCAACATCCAGAGCTGCACCTTTCCCTGCCCAGTCCCTATATCCCCATGGGGACAGTTTTTGTCATCCAAGCCGCAGGTGCACAGATGGGGTGACAACAAACCCACACATGGATGAGAAGCTCCTCCTCTAACACTGCTCCTCTCCTTCTAACACCGCTCAAGGGCCAGCTGGCAACAGAATGCACACGAATTTAAAGACAGTAAAATGGCTTTTCAATACGGATGAGACAGGACACTAAAGAATTTTATTTCTGGACATCCTCCTCCTGATTTTTCATATGTTTCTTCCTTTACCCGTTGCAGTAGACTGCTCTGTATGCTACTATAGCCCCCAACAAAGTAAATCAAGATGCTGAGAAAGAGGAAAAATGCCTATCTTGCTTTTACTAAATTTGGCTTTTCATACTTCCTTTTCTTCGTTTATTTTCCTGCTTCATAAATCCCAACTGGGATCACTCTTCCCCCCTCCCTTTCAGCCAACATCTCTCCCATGGCATTCAGAAGCAACGGAAGGAAATCACCTCCAATTGTACTGCCAATGCCATTACCCACAGGGAACCGTGTCCCCAGAAAACAGCTGTCCTTTTCGTTCCTCCAATGTGGGTGAGAGCCCTCTCAGCTGTCTCTGGATACCTGTGGTAGGAACATCTAAACCTGAGCTACTCACTCCACTCTCCCAGCTGAAGCTGTGCAGAAAAAGAGGCACTAGGCAGCACTCCACACCCCGCGTAAGGTAGATGCCTTAGATGATGTATGCTTTCTTACTGACTACAGATGCTTGCACTGGGTTAGAGAAAACCCAACCCAGCAGAGGTTAACATCTTTAAATAGCCTGTCCAGACCACTTCAAAAGTGCTTATGGATTAAGACTCCTGTGCAGAGCTAGCCAGTTAAAGACTTACCAT